GTCACAAGCTTAGTGGTTGCAAACAACACAAATTTATTATATTACAGTTCTGTAGATCAGAAGTGGGACACGAATCTCACCGGGTGAAAACCAAGGTGTTATCAGGAGGCTTTTCAGGATGCTCTAGCGAAGAACTCATCCCCTTGTTTGTTTGTTTGTTTGTTTTTTCCGGCTTCTAGAGGCTTCCTGTATTGCTCAGCACACGGTCCCCTTCCATCTTCAAAGCCACCAATGGCAGGATGCATCTTTCTCCCATCACATCTCTCAACCTGTCTCTTCTGCCTCCCACTTATCATTTTAAAGAACTCATAATTACAATGGGCTCCTCCAGATAACATAGGATAATCTTCCTATGTTAAGGTCAGGTGATTAGCAACTGTCAATCAATAAAATAATGCAGGAGGCTACAAATAAAAGTTCATTTGGGGGCTTCCCTGGTGGTCTAGTGGTTAAGAATCTGCCTTGCAATGCAAGGGACACTGGTTCAGTCTCTGGCCCGGGATGATCCCATACGCTCTGGGCAACTCAGTTTGTGTGCCACAACTACTGAGACTGTGTACTTCCAGCCTGTGGTCTGCAATGAGAAGCCACCGCAAGGAAAGGCTTGTGCACCACAACTAGAGAGTAGCCCCCGATTCACCACTTAAAATCGAGGGGCTTGAGTAAGTCTCTGGGTGTGTGTGTGCGCGCGCTATAGAAATACTTGTTCGGTTGCTAAATTGTGTCAGACTCTTTGTGACCCATGGACTACAGCACACCAGGCTTCAAGGCCTGTGAAGGCACACCCTGTCCTTCACTCTCTCTGAAAGTTTGCTCAGATTCATGTCCATTGAGTCAGTGATGCCATCCAACCATCTCATTTTCTGCTGCCCTCTTCTCCTTTTGCCTTCAATGTTTCCCAGCATTGGGGTCTTTTCCAATGAGTCAGCTCTTCACATCAGGTGGCCAAAGTACTGGAGCTTCAGCTTCAGCATCAGTCCTTTCAATGAATATTCAGGGTTGATTTCCTTTAGCATTGACTGGTTTTGTTGTAGGAAGGGGGTCCCCCTCCAGGGCCCCAAGAGAGGGCTCTTGTTGAACACTGGTTAAAGAACTGTCCGAGGAGGCATGTGCTGACAAAGCGAGAGACTTTATTGGAAGAAGGCATCTGGGCGGAGAGCAGCAGGATAAGGGAACCCAGGAGAACTGCTCTACCATGTGGCTTGAAGTCTCGGGTTTTATGGTGATGGGATTAGTTTCCAGGTTGTCTTTGGCCAATCTCTCTGACTCCGTGTCCTTCCTGGTGGCGCATGCATTGCTCAGCGAAGATGGATGCCAGTGAGAGGGATTCTTGGAAGTGAATCAAAAGGTCTCCTTTTGACCTTTCCCAAACTCTTCGGGTTGGTGGTGGCTTATTAGTTCTGTATTCCTTATCAGGACCTCCTGTCGTAAAACAATTCATGTGAATGGTTACTAGAGAGCCTGGCCAGGGTGGGCGGTTTCACTCAGTGTGCTTCCCCTAACAGTTTGATCTCCTTGCAATCCAAGGGACTCTCAAGAGTCTTCTCCAGCACCACAATTCGAAAGCAGCAATTCTTCAGCACTCAGCCTTCCTTATAGTCTAAACCTCACAACCATACATGACTACTGGAAAAAACATAGTTTTGACTATACTTTGTCAGTAAAGTGATGTCCTTGCTTTTTAATATGCTGTCTAGGTTTGTCATAGCTTTCCTTCTAAGGAGCCAGTGTCTTTTAATTTCAATGCTGCAGTCACCATCTGCAGTGATTTTGGAGCCCAAGAAATTAAATCTATCACTGGTTCTACTTTTACCCCCATCTATTTGCCATGAAGTGATGGGACCAGATGTTATTTTAATTTGAATGTTGAGTTTTAAGCAAATATAGGAGTCTATAAATCTTCTTAATCTTCATTTTCGCCCAACTAGACCTTGAAGCGGCATATAGAATCATGGTGGAATGGGGTGGGATGTATAACACATCCAAAATTGGTTAAAGTAAAGGTTATGGTTTTTTCCCCTACTTCTCTCCCATCCATATTTGCATAAAAATGTGATCACACAAACTTACTTACTTGGTTATTTGTAAATACTTAACACTAACACCTCTCTTCCTTCACAATTTATTGCACATTGCTGGGTTTAGAAGAGAAGCCTGAAGAATTCAGTGGCTATGCAAAATTATATTCCTTTCTATTTGTTTTAGTTGCTGCCAAGTTGATTTACTTCAAATCCTGATCTTTCTTTATTCAGACAAGCTTTGCAGGGGGAGGGCATCAATTTCTACACACTAGGTAGAATGCATTTCCTTTTCACCTATTTAGGTTAATAGCCTTCAGTGTTATGCAGAGTAAAGAAATTATTTGGCCTCTATTCAGAAGACTATTTGGTTTGAAAAAGAAAAGGCTAATTCCAGCATAATCATTAAATGAAAATGAGACAGTTTAGCACAAATTCAAAAAAACAAAAGGAAAGAAAGGAGTCAGTTGAGGATTTTCTAGGGATCACAAAGTGTTTTGCTCTGTTGAGGCTGAGGTAAGCATTTCAGTAGCAGTTCTCAAGCTGATGGAGTCTTTGACGAGGATTTTATGGGTGGAGGTTTCTCTAATACTTCACTTTGCTGTTAATGCATTTCTTTTTTTTTAAGCGGAATTTGTCTTTGGAAAATTGGCTTGGCTTATGACCCTGGAAGTCTGGTCTGTCTTGGAGAGAGAAATGAACTTGAAAATAATTACTGTGATGTGTAGGATACAAGCCTTTAACATATGAAAATTAAACTAAAGGCCCATAATCAATATGGCATGCTCTGTGACAAGAGTATTTATAGCCTAGATTTATACCAGAAATTCAACAAAATTATATAATATCACTACCTTATTCCATAACATCATCTAAATGTATAACTTTTAAATGTATAACTGATATAGAGGGGTCCATAAGCCAGGAAAAAGAAAAAAAAATCTTTAGGGATGGAATAAAATTATATGCAAAGGTAGTGATTCTGTTCTACTTCTGTGTGTGCATGCTAAGTCGCTTTAGTCATGTCCAACTCTGTGTGACCCCATGGACTGTAGCCTGCCAGGCTCCTCTGTCCACGGGAGTCTCCTGGCAAGAATATTGGAGTGGATTGCCATGACCTCCTCCAGGGGATCTAATGGCTTCGGAATAGCCAGGTACCCTCCAACTACGAAATCCCAAAGATTGTTGGAAAAATGAGGGCATGCACTCTGGCATCTGCATTCCTTCTCCTTGGGATATATTACAGACATTCTTTAAACACTTCAAAGTGATAATTCTCCCATGGAAACATGAATAACGTATCTTGACCTGAATGTCTTAGAATCTAAAAACTGTCTGTAGATAGAACTTTTTCATTGGTGCCAGGAAATTCAGCTTAGACTCAATCTATTCATTCTAAGCCTCTGCAAGAGAACTTTAAACTTCTTAGGCATGCCAAAAATCTAGGTTTGAATTAAATGACTAGCGCTTTACCTAGTTTCTACCACCAGTTCTTTGCCAGAATCTTTTCGATTCATCCTCAGCCAAAGCTGTTACCCATCCTGACAACATAGCCTTTCACCTCCTCACACCTCATGTCTTTGCTTTTCCAGTCCTTTGGCTGCCCTCCTATTTCTTCCCTCACATACTTGTCTGACTGGTTCCTAGAAGCTTGGCTGAGATTTTTCTCTGACATAAATCTGGCTACCACAAATTAAGCACTCCCCTCCCCCCGTCGCCCAAACACATTTCTCAATGCAAATCTAAGTAGATGTAATTTATAAACAAAGAGAATATTTCTATTTTCTTTATAAAAATAAATCACGTCATGGCTTTTAAACGAGAGAATGAAGAGCTAATTGACAGAAAAATAACCGATTAGAGCAGAGATTAGGAAAAGATAGGAAGTAAAAAAAAAAAAAAAAGCTACTTAACTATGACAATAACATCAGAAAAAGCATCAACCTTATTTTTCCACAAGGCAGCCCTGGCCCGATCCGTACAGGTTAATTGAGTTATCTTTGTTCTGTGCTCTGATGTAATTTAAGTCTCCAAAACCGGACTGCACTTAGTAGGTGCTCAATGTTCAGTCTGAAATGCTTAGTCTTTGAATGTTCAAAGACTAAGAGAATTAAAAATTGATTTTTAAAAAAGTGACAAAAGCCACAGCTTCATCAAACGTTTAACCTTCCCAAACACAGCCCCATTGTTCTACTCTCTTTATACTCCTGCCTTTTCCCTTGTTTTTGTCGTTCTTTCACATACATATTTAAATCTAAGAACAGACACGAACACCAAACCCTGAAATAACAGACTTAAACGTGTTATTCAAAGCAAGTTATATTAGGCGGATGCTTTTGAAGGAATGTCAACTCCTAACGGGTTTTCTCTTTGCCGTACAGCTTTTCCCGCCTTCTCCCGAGTGGAGGTGAGGGGTGCGGAATCAAACCATCAACATTCTCTCTCCTTTGCCTCAATCTTTTTTTTCCCCCCTGTCCTTTTCTCTCCTTTCCTCGGCTTTATTTCCTTCCCCCATCTGCCGTTTCTCTAGGGTCCTTGCTTGGCTTTCTCCCGCTCAGCCTGTTGGTCCCTTTGATCCTTTCTTTCTATCCCTTATTCCCAGAAGCTCCAGAAAATACCTTCTTTTCCCCCCTTCTTCACGTCACTTCCCTCCCTTCTCCCATCTCCCTCTCCTTTTCTGAGAGAGGTGAGTTTCCCCCGCTAGAGGCCACCACTTTCTCGGTTTCTTCCCTCCCACCGACAAGCAGCGCTCGGAGAGAAAGAAGGGAAAAAAAGAGGAGAAAGAGCGTGAGAGGGAAAAAAAAACCCCGAGGCCTAGAGCGCGGAGGCCCGGCAGCGGCGTCGTCATGGCAACGGGCGCCGGCAGGAAACGAGGGACGCGCGGGAGGGAGGGGGGAGGCCACGGAGAGGAGGGGGAGTTCCAGGAAGGGGAGGAGGCGAGGGGAGCCCGCCGCGGAGGCCGAGTGCGCCCCCCGCCCGGCCCGGCGCCCGGGGACCCCGGCACGTGAGGTGGACGCCCCCCACCCCCTATCCCGGGAGCGCCCGGGTGCGGAGCCAGGCGCGGAGGTAAGCGGGCGGCCGCGGCGGGGCAGGGGCAGGACCTCCGGGGGCTTGGCCGCGCGGGGATGTTTCTGCAGCCGCCGCGGGCTGTGGAACGCCCCAGGTACCTCCCCCGGCGTCTTTCCCTGCCTACCTCTGGCGCTTGCCCTGTGGTCCTTCGCTCCGCCGTCCGAGCCTCTCGCTCTTCTATTCATTTTCGCTGTGCTCACTGCTGTCTGCCCGTCACCCTAGTTGCTCCTGACCCCTCCTTCTCTCATTCATTTTCCCTCCTCTGACTTTGGCTCTCCCATCCAAGCGTGCCGTCTAGTTCTCTCTCTGCTTTTTTCTGGTCCCCTGGGTTCCTCAGCCCCCCAGTTCCTCGATTTCTGTCTCCCCCCTGCCTGTCTCCCCGCTATCAGTAAGCGCACTTCTCCGCTCACTTGGGGTCGGTTCACTCCTGGCACCACCGCTCCGTGAGCCCCCCTTCTCCCAGTGGGTTTGATTCCTCTTGGGAACTCGTTCTCATCTAGGTTCTAGATACAGGGACCCCTGGGGGCGTCTACTCTCCTATTCTTCAGATGGCTTCCATTTCTGTGGCATAGGCTACCCCGAACCCATCCCCTTCTCCTGCCCCCCTTCCTATCTGTGCCCCATCTTTGCTGGGAGACAAGAGTTTCATACTTGGGGAAATTGATTTCCTCCAACTCTTGGCTCAGGAGGCCCGGTACCTGGTCCACTTCATTATCTTCCTCTAGCTCCTTTCCAAAGATTTGCTCCAACCCAGCCACACACCCCCAAATACTATCTTTCAGGATGACCCCAGTTTCGTGATTCCGGGGACCTTTATGGCTCAGCTTTTCATGCTTTCTCTTCCAGTTAAATTCTGAAAATTTAAATTGACTGTGCCTCCCAGACTTTCTGTGTTCTTCATTTTCTGTATTTGATTTTACAGTCCCGACACTGAGCACAAATGAGTAGATTTATGTGCCTGGGATCCAGGAATCCTGGTTTTGATGACAGTTTCTCCTGATTTGGTTTAAGACTTTAAGCTGGTTTCTTTCCAGCTCTTTTCTATTTCACAACCTGAAAAATTATTAAGACTTCCATTCTGGGGGGAGATGGGGATCATATAGTTTATTAGCCTTTTCATCTACGAAGGGAATTCATGTCCCTCTAGCTAGTAAAGGGGGTCTCCTCTCTCTCAATCTAGTGAACTAAGTCCGGTCATCTATACAACTATGCTGGCTGCCTCTAATGCTTACCCACTCTTTTTCCTCCGCATGCTGATAATGAGGATTCATGGGTCTGTATCTGTTTAGTGCTTTGATATTTTGGCAAAAGATGTGGGGTGAAGACAAACTAGACTTGAAGCCAGTGTGATTTCTCCTATGTTCTTCATGGGTTATATCCATGCTTGCAGTGACATTTGCTCTTCCTGAACAACTGAATTCTTGGAGGATAAGGATGTAATCAGATTATAACTGGGAATGGACCCGTAAGAAATCTTCCCAACTCTAGTTTCCAAGGCCAAGCAGTTTGATTTTATTTACTTTCTTTGTTTTGGATGGTATCATTAAAATGGATTCACCTGAGTAAAACTATCGACACACCTTAGCAGATATTCTGATTTGATGTTTACATTCCTAAACCAAATTGCTGTGCTGACCTGATATTTACAATGACTTCTCCATGCCTCAGAAGTAGAGAAAAAATAGTACTTAGGTTTAGCAAAAGAAGGGGACAAAAAAGAAAGAACCAAAGAAGCTTACTGTCATTTAACTCTGCTTCGATGGCATGTTTCTTCTTACTTCTCATCTGTTTCTTTGCTGTGTTCTTAGCAATGTTTTCATGTGTTCTTTGCAAATTTTAGAGTAGACCCCAGAGGATAAATTCTGGCTACTTTAGTGGACTAAAACGTTGAATCTTTCTTGAAGATTTGATTGCTGTCTTTACTGTGTTTAATACCTGTAAGTCATTTGTTACAATGATGTGTTATATTTACTTGGGAAGCCTTCTCTGCATCCAGAGGAACTGAGGTATAAGAAGATAAAGTAACATGGCCAAGGTGTTACTAGTATCCCCAGCTCCAGCCAGGCAGTTCTTTGGGTGAGATGGGCTATAGGCTAGCTCTTCTATCTCCCAGTTTTATGACTTTCTATGTTGCTTTGGTCTTTCTGTAACATAAGTCCCTCCTCCATGGAATGAAGACAGTGGGTACTCGAAGTGAGTGACACGGCCTTAACTACAGATTGCTTTTGGTTTGAAGACCTGTATCCTAGTGTAAAGATTTGATACTTAACTAGAACTACTTCCTTAACCTCTGAAAACCTCATTTCCACAATTGTAAAGTGAAGATAATTGTATTTATCATAAAGCACTGCTAAATAATGGAAGTGAAGGGCCTAGCCCAGTGAGAGGAAGCACCTAGTGACTTCTCAGTACAGGGTGGCCATTGTTAAGGTGAGGCTGATAATGATGTTGCATATGCAGGTAAAACTGAGGTAACAGTAAGTTTTAAATGGGACGATTTTAAACTATTTAAAAGTGTGATGGAGATATAAAGTAGCCTTACTCTTATAAGGAGCCATCTTACATTCAGGCCATTTTCTATTTAATGACAGCCAGGAGGGAATATGTAAAAGTTGTTTCTTTTGAGACATCGCTTAGTTTCAAAAGATGGTGTGGGGAAGATGATGGTTATACGTGTATTGAAGATTTGGTTGTTATTAAAACAGAGCAATCATGGCTTCTGGAAGAAAAGGAAGGTTCTTAGGTAACTTGAATCAATAGTAACATGAAATAGTCATTTGAGATCAGGTGCACATTTTAACCCGTTGCTACTTCCATCTAGGTCTGGAGTCAGCGCCAGCTGTGGGGACCCTGGACCTCTACCATGGAGACTGAGAGTGAACAGAACTCCAACTCCACCAATGGGAGTTCCGGCTCTGGGGGCAGCTCTCGGCCCCAGATCGCTCAAATGTCACTGTATGAACGGCAGGCCGTGCAGGTGAAGCTCAGCACTGAGGGTCTGTGAGCATTGGCTTGGGGTGGGCAAGGATGCAGGAAGATAGTCACCCTTGGTTTCATTCCAGCAAACTGGGTGAGTCTGATCAGGTGATGACAAAGGTCTCTTCCAGGTGTGAGGACCTTTGGGGTTTACAACAGTTTGAGCAAGCAGGCAGAACGAGATATCAATCTTAAAGGTTTTTATATCATTCAGTTCATGTTGCTAGATTCTCATTAACCATTTCTCTTCAAGGATTGTCAGGTTATTATTTTTGGGTCTTTCTTGAAAATCACCATGGGTAGTGGAAGTTAAGAACCTCAAATCTTTTGGCTCCTGGAAAGAATAAAAGGGAATGCAGTTGTGGCTTTGAAGTTAACGCCAAAACTGAATTACTGATACTGTCTTTATAAACACGTGTTAGCATTATACTGTAGATGTTTAAAAATTCCAGTTACTTGAAAATTTTACCTGATACAGCCTTTCATAGTCACTGTTTATTTTTCATCATTTTCAACCCTTTAGAGCCCTGTTGGGCTTCCTAGGTGGCTCAGTGGTAAAGAATCATCCTGCCAGTGCAGGAGATGCAAGAGATGCGGGTTTGATCCCTGGGTTGATCCCCTGGAGAAGGAAATGGCAGCCCACTCCAGTATTCTTGCCTGGAGAATTCCATGGACAGGGGAGCCTGGCAGGTTGTAGTCCATGTCCGTTAGCCACAGGCAGCTGTTGAGCACTTAAAATACAGCTAGTCTAGGACTTCCCTGGTGGTCTAGTGGTTGAGAATCTGCCCTGCAGTGCAGGAGACACAGGTTCAGTCCCTGGGTTGGGAAGATCCCCTGGAGAAGGAAATGGCAGCCCACTCCAGTATTCTTGCCTGGAGAATTCCATGGACAGGGGAGCCTGGCAGGTTGTAGTCCATGGGGTCTAAAAGAGTTGGACATGACTGAGCACACACACAGACAGGGCTCTATCACCTTTAATGTGTTCCCAGAATATGGTCTTTTATTTTCTTCTTCTCTTTACATTAATCAACATTCCATTTATTTTCAACTAGTTTAGTCCTAATTCTTTGTTATATCAGATATTTCCAGGTTCCATTTTGGGAAATACAAGTTCATGTGAGATTATACTGCTGTATTTTTCAATTAATTGTGTCCCTACTTTTTAAGGACTACATGAACTCACGGGTTCTGATATAAAAAAGGACATATCAGATGTCAACAGGCTAACCAGATACCCATCTTTTCCTTTGTTTCTCTCCTCCCCATGTGTCCCTTTCCCAGGATCCCAGTGATTTCCACAGCATAGGAGTTCGGAGTGGTTCATCCCAAGTGGATTGATCCCCTTCTCTTTCTCCCTAGGCTCTGCAGGCACTGCAGCGTCAGCCCAACGCGGCTCAGTATTTCCACCAGTTCATGCTCCAGCAGCAGCTCAGCAATGCCCAGCTGCATAGCCTGGCTGCCGTCCAGCAGGTGAGAGGTCAGCAGCCAGCTGGCCCAGGAGGGAGGGGACAGGCGGTACAGGTGGGTCGGGACACACCACACCCTCCACTGAGCCAGGCTGGGAAGAGTGTCCTGTGCCTCCTGTCCTGCAGGAGGATGAGTGGACCTCAGTGTGTGGGCTCACTGTAAGAACCGTGGGAGAACTGCCTTTTTGAGGTAGCACGACTGTGTGCTAGCCCTGCACTGTCCGGTATAGTAGCCGTTAGCCACAGGCAGCTGTTGAGCACTTAAAATACAGCTAGTCTAGGACTTCCCTGGTGGTCTAGTGGTTGAGAATCTGCCCTGCAGTGCAGGGGACGAGGACTATGAGTACCACACCTAAGACAGGACCCAGCCACATATTTTAGAAAAATCCATCTCCTTTAAAAAAACAAAAAACAAATGCTGCTAGTCCAGATGGAGGTATGGGAGAAGATTTTGGATTTCAGAGACTTTTTAGTTTGAAAATGCTCAGTAGTTCGTTTATGTTGGTATATGTTAAAATGAGACAGATCAGCTTGAATAAAGTAAATTTTTAAAGTTTACTTCTCCTGTTTCTTTTCACTCTTTGAAAAAGGTTCACGTTAGAAAATGATATAGGTGGCTCACCTTACATTTGTATCGATTGGGCAGCTGTGGGCTGGACTTAGCAGTGACTTCTGATGTGACCTGACCACAGGTTCTTCCAGCTAAATGAAAGTGGGAGAAAGAACACAGGCTGCCTACTGCCCTTGGCGGGTTATGTGGGAGTCATGGGGTTAGCCTATGTAGTAATATGAGGGTGATTGACATAGTGAGCACAGTTGTCCTTGCTCCATAGTAGAGGCTCGTTGCTCTTACCTGAAATCTCAGTTATATTTTGTGCCTGTGATTTGTCCTTGGAAGATTCAGAGCCTTTGCCTTCGTTGTCTCTGCTCTCCCTTGTCTTCTTTGCCCCGTAACAGGCCACAATTGCTGCCAGTCGGCAGGCCAGCTCCCCAAACACCAGCACTGCACAGCAGCAGACCTCCACCACCCAGGCCTCCGTGAGTACTGCCTGTCCCCACCGAGGGGCTTTCCTCCCGGGGTCTCTGTCTTTCAGTTAAATTCTTGGGTTTGCCAACATGCAGATTTTTCTGTAAGATATTTCGGGAAGCCTGAGTGCACTTTTTAGCTAAGCCAATACTTTGTGCCACTGATCTGAGAGTGTTTATTGCACCATTGATGGTATTTACTGATCATGTGTAGAGAATATCAGTAAAAGGGAGAATAACCAGTGTGGATCTGTAGAGGTGTCTTAAGGAGGAAGAAAATCCTGGGCAGGAGGAATCAAAGGGTCCCAAGGGCTAATCACTGGACCCTTGACTGAGAAGTAGAATCTGTTCCATTTCGTCCTTTGCTCCTCAGCTCTTACACTGGTGATTAGGGCCTGGTTTCTGTACTTTGCTGATAGTCTTCAGAGGCCAGGATGACAGGTGTGGATGGTAAGGTGTTCATTTCTTCCTGACTCTCTGAACGTGAGATACTCTGCTTTTGCTGGTGTCACTCTGAGTTTGTCACTCATGTGTATTTCCTTTTGTCTCTTCCCCCATCCTTAATCCTGGTTCCCTTCTGTACCACACAGATCAATCTGGCCACCACGTCGGCCGCCCAGCTCATCAGCCGGTCCCAGAGTGTGAGCTCTCCCAGTGCTACCACTTTGACCCAATCTGTGCTACTGGGGAACACCACCTCCCCACCCCTCAACCAGTCCCAGGCCCAGATGTATCTGCGGGTAAGCCACAGCCACCGTTGTCCCAGGGGCACAATTGTTCTCTGACTTGTTGAGTGAAAGCCTGTTTTTTTTTTTTTGGCTGCACCATGCACCTTTTGGGATGTTAGTACCCCAACTAGGGATTGAACCCAGGCTTGAGTCTTAACCACTGGACCACCAGGGAATTTCCCAGAGTGAAAGCTGTTTTATGTCATCATGGTTGAAAGTGAAAGTTACTCAGTCTTGTCTGACTCTTTGTGATCCCATGGGCTGTACAGTCCATGGAATTCTCCAGGCCAGAATACTGGAGTGGGTAGCCTTTCCCTTCTCCAGGGGATCTTCCCAACCCAGTGATCAAACCCAGGTCTCCCGCACTTCAGGCGGATTCTTTACCAACTGAGCCACAAGGGAAGCTCGTGTCATCATGGTTACCCAGGTGTTTTAGGACAAGGTGATCTGCTTCCTATGCCTGACTTACCTCTCGATGTGACGCTCAGTGTTCACAGGTAGCTTGCAAACAATTGAGATCCTAAGTTAGAAGATTTCACCTCAGTATTAAAGAAATTTGCACCAGATATAGTCTAATCTTTAAAGCCATGGCTCACGTGCACACATCCTAAGTGTCACCTCTTGGCCTGTCTGCTTAGTATATATAAACCCTGCTCCCAGCTCCTCATTGTCTCAGCCTCTCTGATGTTTGACTTTGTTGTCAGTGTGTAGCTTATACATGTTCCAGGTTTTCTTCGGATGATTCATCGCACACGGAGGATGAGGGTCTCCTGGGTTGGTATGGAAAGGGGCAGGGCTTAGCGGTTTCGTATCTTCTGTTTATTTTGTCTTGTGGTCCTTCCCTTCCGTTTCTTCTGTCTGTCTCTTTCTCTTGCTCTGTTTCCTCTGTTCTTCCTCTTCCTCCTCTCCTTGCCAGCCACAGCTGGGAAACCTATTGCAGGTAAACCGGACCCTGGGCCGGAATGTGCCTCTAGCCTCCCAACTCATCCTGATGCCTAACGGGGCGGTGGCTGCAGTCCAGCAGGAGGCGCCATCTGCTCAGTCTCCTGGAGTCCACACAGATGCCGATCAGGTCAGTGGCGACCACTCGACCTGCGGACGGGCCCTGGGGAGGGCGAATGGAGTGGCCTCGGACCAGGGACCACCCTTCCACCCCATTACCACTTTTCAGAATCCTTTTTTTTCCCCCTCTCTCAATTTCTGTAGAACTTGAATCCCTTACACCTTTTTAGTTATTTGAATTAGGAAGGGAAGTAGACTTGACTGAAAACAGCCCTGTGGATATGGGAAGCCACCTCCTTTTTTTTTAAAAAAAACTTTTTATTTTATATTGGATTATATGATAATGGTGTGGTAATTTCAGGTGGACAGCAGAGGGACTCAGCCATACATATATGTGTATCCATTTTCCCGCCAAACTCCCCTCATCCAGGGAAGCCTTATTCTTAACACAGGACCGGCGTCCCTGCCCTCCTCTTAGCCCTCTGTAGTTCAGTTTTTTTCAGGAAGTCCTAGTTCCTTCTTGCAGTACTCTCTGGAAGATAAGGGATGGTGGAGGGAATTCTGGTTAGACAGACATCAAGCTGAGTTGCTGGCAGAACACTTGATTTCTTCTCTATGAGTTACTGTAGCTTTCAACCTTAAGCAGTCTGTTTTGCCTAAAGGTTCCCAGTATAATCTTCCTTACCAGTGTGTTTCCAGTGCCTTATCTCAAACAAAAATAGATATAGAGAGAGCAATGTTTTAGCTGCTTTTGCATGGCATACAGACTGGGGTCTCGTGGTACTTATTTCATTCTTTTAGTTTTTATCAGTCAGCAAGTAAACATGGAGCTCTGCATTTCAGTGAACTTGAGCAGATTCTTAAAGGATGGGTGGCATTTGATTAGGAGTAGCATGAACACTGGAGAGAGAATAGCATGTGTCAAAGCCTGACTCAGATACGTGACTGTGAGTTGGAGATGAGTGAATAAAGTGGAGACAGCAAGCCTGTGGCAGGAAAGGGCATTGTTAAGGACACGTCTGAAAGCCACGTGACTTTGTAGGTAGCAGCGGCACTGCTGACTTGAATAGCAGATTAAGAAGGTCAGGAAGCTACTTGAGAAAGACTGATTTCGGAGCCTGTGCCTGGAGAAGGAAGAGAAATGAGGGAACCTGCCGAGAAACTGTTGGGGTCAGTTACAGATACGGCCTTTGGTTTAGACTACAGTAGTAGTGGTAGGGTCAGGATGAGGTAGAACCTGCTTTCATAGCAGTTCTTTCACTTACACATCTATTCATCAGATGTTTGTTGGTCTGTGGATGGACAGAGTAGTGGTTGAAAGTGTGAATCTTCGTTAGGGTCGATTCCAACTCTGTGACTTACTGTGACCCCTGCAACATCTTCTTGCCACAATTTCTTTGTCTGTTAAATAGCCGTTATAAAATACTTGTCCCGGGGTGTGTGTGAGGACTCGGTGAGGTGATGTGTGTAAGTGTTTGAACAGGGCCTGGACACAGTGAGTGTTTAAGAGTTCGGCTCTCTTTGTGATCAGACAGGCGACATTCCTCAGCCTTGAACGTAGGAACAGGAGAGGAGGGTAAAGCTGGGCTTGGGGAGGGGGTTCAGGCTTGGCGGTGGGAGGGAGCCAGCAGAGGAGAGGTGAATGAAGGGACAGGAAAGAACTGAGGAGGAGGGAATGAGATCCTGAGCCTAGCAAGCCTTTGATGGGAGGAAGGAGAGAAGGCGGCCGGGGTGAGGGGTAAGTGATGGGGGCTGATGGAGGTACAGGGCCAGGTTTGGCGGTGGGACCAGATATGGTTTTATCATCTCTGTGGGAGTGAACAATGAGAGGGGAAAGAGGAAGTGGTTCAGAGGTGCAGGGAGAGGAGGAAAGTTTTAAATAGCCATGACGGGAAGGAAGCTGATTAGAAAAAACTTCATAATTGCCAGGTAATACGTAAGTGGCCCAGTACCCAGTCCTGATGATTTTTGTATATCTCTCTCGAAAGCTATTAGTTCTCTTCTTTATTACTATTGTCTGAATTCGGGTTCTTTTATTTTTCTCCTGAATTACTGTACTGGTTTCCTAACTGGCCTCTTGATTTCAGCCTTATCTGCTTCTAATCCTCTCCCATTGTTCTATCAGGATAAGGTGATATACATTGTTACTTTAAAAAAAAACTTTATTTTGTATCAGAATACAGCCCATTAACATCTGTTGTGATAGTTTCAGGTTAGCAGCAAAGAGACTCAGCCATTCATATACATATATCCATTCTCTCACAAACTTCCCTAACATTATTTTTAATTGTACCTCTGGCCTACAGAATTTGATGAATCATAATAAGTTAAGACTCATGGCATCCTCTCATCAATGGTTCATTCATGGTCCACTTTTTAAAACATTTACTCTGTAAGTTTTAATCATGTAATAAGCCACCCCTAGCTCCAGATGGAGCTCCACTGCCTACCCCTACTCATCCATGGTGACGGTCGTTCTGATTAATCCTTCTCTGCAAACCTTTTTGTATAGTTTTACTGCCTTTACTATATTTCTAAAATGTTCTTTTTAATGTGGAACATTTCAAACAAATACAAAAACAGAAAGAAATATGAATCTGTAAGTGCTTAGCCATTCAACCTCAGCATTTATTGACATGTGGTCAATTTCTCCAGGCCCCTTCCCTTCATCTTATTTAGAAGCAAGTTCCAGATACCATGTGGAGATATATATATATATATAATATAAGTGTGTGTTTAAATCTATAAGGTACTTACATTGTATATAATCCTTTGGGGAATGCCTTCATTAAATAACTTATTATCAAAATCCACCTGTATTGTTGCATGTGTCATTGTATTTGTTTTGATTTCCATGTAATATTCCATTGTGTGAATGTACTACAGTTCATTCATCCTCTCTTCTGACTGTGGCCATTTGGTTGGTTTTTAGGCTTTTGTTAGGGTGACTAGTGCTGCCATGACCATTCTTACACATGCCTCCCATTGTCTATAGCGAGCACTTCTCTTGTGGGACTCCTGGGTTAGAGCGTGTATGAATATTCAACTTTAGGACAAAGTGCCAGATTGTTTTCCAGAGTGACTGTGCTCATTTACACTTTCATCAGCAGTGTTTAAAAGAATGGTTTCGGCGATAGAGTTCGTTGTGGTCTTTCTGATGAATATTCTTCAGTGGCTTCCTGTGATTTATTAAGAGCTCGTCATCCCTTCTCTCCGTTGATACACTGGACTACTTGCAGTCTGTCAGGCACTGTGCTCGGTGCTGGGACTTTCTTATTTTAACATTCCAAGCCCTTCAAGATCTGGTCTCTTTCTAGCCTCAGCCTACCTGCCCAGCTTCATTTCTTGCCATTCCCTCCAGACTGCCCCAAACATAATGAAATAGTTACCATTTCCAAAAACACGGTGCTCTTTCTTGGCTCAGTGGTCTTGCACTGTTGTTACTTGTGTCTTCACACCTTGTTGGTTCTCAGCTCAGACATCGCCTGTGTTAGAATGTCTCCCCTCACGCCCTAGTCTGAGTTACTACTCTTCCTCCTCTGCTCTCCCCTAGCACTGGTTGCATATCTGTGCGTGGTGTAACTTGGTTTTCTTGTTTTCTTGAGTAGAAATTACTCATTAAAAGCAGGGGCTTGTGTCTTTCATCTCTGCATTCCCAGTATCCAGTGCGGTACCTGCAGCATAGTCGGTGATTTGTAGATGTTGAATGAATGAATGAATGGGGAAGAAAGGGAAGGTCTGAGACATTTTGAAAGAATAAAATAACCAAACTTGATGGCAGATTTGATAGTGAATGAAGAAGACTGAGAATCAGATATGACTTGAGAGCTCCTCTCTGGGAAGGCCTTCACTGTGTTTGTACAGGTGAGGGTACAGCTGAGGGGGTCCATGGAATATCTGTAGCTGTCGTCACTATTTCTGACTCAGTCATGGTAATCTTTCACTTTAGGGCCCCTTGCTCTCCCAGTTTCTCAGTCTGCCTTTTGCTTCCTATCTTTCAGGTGCAGAACTTGGCCGTCAGGAACCAGCAGGCCTCCGCCCAAGGACCCCAAATGCAAGGCTCTGCTCAGAAGGCCATCCCTCCTGGGGCCTCCCCTGTCTCCAGCCTCTCCCAGGCTTCTAGCCAGGCCCTTGCCGTGGCTCAGGCTTCCTCTGGGGCCTCAGGCCAGTCCCTCAACCTCAGTCAAGCTAGTGGAGGCAGTGGGACTAGCATCCCAGGGTCCATGGGTCCTGGAGGAGGCGGCCAGGCTCCTGGGGGCTTGGGGCAGTTGCCTTCCTCAGGAATGGGTGGTGGTGGGAGCTGCCCCAGGAAGGGCACCGGAGTGGTGCAGCCCTTGCCTGCAGCCCAGGCAGTGACTGTGAGTCAGGGCAGCCAGACAGAAGCAGAAAGCGCAGCGGCCAAGAAAGCAGAAGCAGATGGGGCTGGTCAGCAGAACGTGGGCATGAACCTCACCCGGACCGCCACTCCCGCTCCCAGCCAGACCCTCATTAGCTCAGGTACGTTGTCTCCTCCCATAGTGTTCTTATTCCCTCGGGGCTAGCTTGACGTCTTCAGGGTACGTGTCTTTGCCCTTCTTGGTCGTTTTGGTCCTGAAATAGTGGAAGGAAAGAATCACATCAACCTTGTTCGTATTAGTCCAGGAGACAGGATGACAGGTAGCAGAGAGGGATCTTGTCTGTTTCTGCCAGGCAGCAGTCAGTTTACAAGTTGCCTTGTCCTCTGCTCCTTAGGTCCCGACTTCTTCAATTTACTCCCTCTACCCTTTCATTCACTAGGGTCTTGTCTTTTTTTTTTTTTTTTTAATTTGGTTGTTTTGAGTGTTAGTTGCAGCATGTAGTTAAGTGCTACAGTCTTCGTTGTAGTACTTGGTTCTTCATTGCTGTGCACAGGCTTCTCTGTAGTTGTGGTGCACAGTCTTAATTGTCCCAGGCATGTGGGATCTTAGTTCCCCGATCAGGGATCAAACCCCTGTCCCCTGCATTGGAAGGTGGAATCTTAACTACTAGACCACCAGGGAAGTCCCCACTCAGTTCTTTTTGAAGAGCTTGCTCTGTTCTAGGGAGGGTACTGGGATACATCATTTGAAAAACAGACTTTTCTGCTCATGGAGCTTACAGTTTTGAGTTCTCTCCTCACACATTTACTGTTGGTCAGTTGGCAGCATAGAGCGAGGACAGTGTACCTTCGAGTACTTAGGGTGAGCAGATAGAGCCCTGCTTTAATATAGTCCAACTTGTGATCATCTGTATTGAAGGTAAGGATGGTAAGGATTGAAAAGAATAAATAATAGTAATAACCCAGGGTAGTGCTTGCTTTCAGGCTTTGGATAGAGTTAGATGTGTGTACCCTATGTGGTAGTGGTTATTTTTGCTTCCTTTTTTCTAGTACTCTAAGTGTTGCATATTTGAATAATGTACTCCCCAAATTAAAGAGTTAATTATCAGTTGTTTTACTAACACCTAGTATGGCACTTTACAAACTATGGCACTTGTAATACCAAAGTGCTTTCATGTCACATATATTCTCTGGGCATCATGGTAGGGTGTGAAGCAGGGGAGATCACATCTCCAGTTTACAGTGGAGGGAACTGGGTCAAGTCTGAGCCCACAGCCGCTGACTCTTAAAACTTCTCATGGGTGGTCACCTAAACTGATGAATCATGGAGACCCGAGAGAATCATGGGAAGATGTTGGTATCTTTACCTTTGTGGACATTTATTTTTAAAGTACTGTTAAGTGTTTTTCGTGTATCAGGCCCTGGGCTGGGTTCTAGGGATGTAAAAACGAATGAAATGTGGACTTCACGCTTGAGGAGAAGAATTTAATCATGAAGGCTCTGGGCCCACCATTGTGCGCCCATTACTTGCTGAGTGCCAAGTAACAAGATTTAAGTAAAGCAAAAAAAAAAAGATAAATGCAAGAAATTACTGAGGACTGTTACATGCTTGAGCAAAGGTGGTCTTTCCCTGACATCTTTAAGGCTGGAGATGGTAACGTCTGACTTGGAGGAAAGAGTATAAACCAGGTGGCCTGTCGGGCGCCTCCAGCTCACTTTCCATTTGCTGTTTGAGTCTACAACTGGGTAAACCGTGGAAGGCTGCTTTGACTTAGCGCCTTTGATGATGTTGCTCATGTCTGCTCTCCCTTCCCTTTGTGCCTCCGGGGGCTTGTTCCCGCAGCCACCTACACGCAGATCCAGCCCCACTCCCTGATTCAGCAGCAGCAGCAGATCCACCTCCAGCAGAAGCAGGTGGTGATCCAGCAGCAGATCGCCATCCACCACCAGCAGCAGTTCCCGCACCGCCAGTCCCAGCTTCTGCACACGGCCACGCACCTCCAGCTGGCCCAGCAGCAGCAGCAGCAGCAGCAACAGCAGGCCACCACCCTCACTGCCCCGCAGCCTCCGCCGGGTCCCCCAACCCAGCCGGTCCCGCCGTCCCCGTCCCAGCAGCCAGCCCAGACCCTGGTCGTCCAGCCCATGCTGCAGTCTTCACCCCTGTCCCTGCCGCCGGACCCTGCCCCCAAGCCCCCCATTCCCATTCAGTCCAAACCGCCGGCTCAGCAGGCCACCACCCTCACTGCCCCGCAGCCTCCGCCGGGTCCCCCGACCCAGCCGGTCCCGCCGTCCCCGTCCCAGCAGCCAGCCCAGACCCTGGTCGTCCAGCCCATGCTGCAGTCTTCACCCTTGTCCCTGCCGCCGGACCCCGCCCCCAAGCCCCCCATTCCCATTCAGTCCAAACCGCCGGCAGCCCCTCTCAAGCCCCCTCAGCTAGGGGCTGCCAAGATGTCCGCTGCCCAGCAGCCCCCACCCCACATCCCCGTGCAAGTGGTGGGCACCCGGCAGCCGGGTACAGCCCAGGCCCAGGCTTTGGGGCTGGCCCAGCTGGCAGCTGCCGTCCCCAATTCCCGGGGGATGCCAGGCACAGTGCCACCAGGCCAGGCCCACTTGGCCTCCTCGCCGCCTTCATCCCAGGCCCCGGGTGCGCTGCAGGAGTGCCCGCCCACGTTGGCCTCAGGGATGACCCTGGCCCCTGTGCAGGGGACGGCGCACGTGGTGAAGGGCGGGGTGACCACCTCCTCACCCGTGGTGGCCCAGGTCCCTGCCGCCTTCTACATGCAGTCTGTGCACCTGCCGGTGAGTGTCGCCCTGTGACTGAGCACACGGCATCCTCGAGGGGACCTGAGCTCAATTTCAGAAGGGGGTAAAGGGTGAGAGGGTTAGGATATTAGTGCTGCTTTTGTAAGAGGGAGTTTAATGGATGGTTAAGATCCTGGCATGTATTCAGTCTTTCGTAAGAGAGAGACCTCAACGTATATAATACCTGAATTTCATACTCCTACATTTGCTACTGAAATTCTGTATTTTGGGATCTATACTGAGTTATATTAAGATACAGCTTTAACTACCAAAATCAATCTTTAGCCCAACAATTCTAGGTTGGGCTGTGATGAACCCGGGTCTCCAGGTCTAGGTCAGGACTAAATAATGTTGTATTTTCTTTTGTCTTGATGTAGAAATTACACTTCTTGGGAATGACCAGAAATTTTACTGTACCATGGGACATAGATACACTGGGGAATCTAGAACTAAGAAAATTTTCTCAGACAGCGTGGGAGTAATTGAGTTTCCTCATTATCCTTTGCTCATAAATCTTGTTTTCCTTCCTGTTTTTCACTTTATAGGGCAAACCCCAGACACTGGCTGTAAAGCGCAAGGCTGAGTCTGAGGAGGAGCGAGATGACGTCTCCACATTGAGTTCGATGATTCCCGCGAAGACATCTCCGGTGGTAGAGAGCCCGAAGGCCATGGAGGAGAAGGGCGGTCTTGGAGGTGAGGAACGGACTTCTGCAGGGCTGCCAGAGTGCACAGAAATGAGAGGAAAGCTCTGAGTGGGCTAAGAGTTCAGTCTGATTCATTAGAATGTGGGCCTGAACTTGATGGATGAGACCTGGACGGACAGAAGCCAGGATGACTGATCAAAGAGGAACATGTGTTACTGTGAGGATCAGGTTGGCTTGGCTCATCCTTGGCTCACTTAGGTCATCCCCTCCCTGTTCCTTAATCTTGTGTTTATTTTCCAGATAAAGCTGAGCCAGTGACCAGCTCGAACGCTAACACCCTGAGCAGTGACATTGTACCTTTGGCTCCCGCCCCATCAGCGCCCCCTCCTTCACTGGCCATGGTGTCCAGACAGATGGGTGACTCCAAGCCCCCCCAGGCCATTGTGAAGCCCCAGATCCTCACCCACATCATCGAAGGCTTTGTTATCCAGGAAGGAGCAGAGCCTTTCCCGGTGAGGGCAGGGCCAGAAGGTGGGGCTTTCACATGGGGACTTGGTCTGGTGGGTTGTCTTTTCAAACTCCAGAGACTCAGAAGGCTCAGAACTATTTCATAATTAGAGAACGGTTCAGTTCTGTTGTTTGTAGGATTAGCTATGAAGAAGGAAGGGAAGAGAAGAAGAAAGACTGTAGACCAGGAACTGAAAATAGTGGGGAGAGGAGAAGCAAAGGAAAAGAGTGACCTTTAAAGGCTGTCATGGTTGTTTTTTGTGTTTGTTTTGGGGCTCCTTTGTACAGCATTTGGGCATTGTACAGCATTTGGGATCCTAGTTCCCTGACCAGGGACTAAACCTGGGCCTCCTGCATTGGGAGCTTGGAGTCTTAGCCACTAGACCACCAGGGAAGTCTTTAATTAGGTTGTTTTATAGTGAAGAAAATTGTGGTGGAGAAGTTGAGAGACTTTTCTGGATACCATGAGTTGCAGAACCAGGACTTAGAACACAGGTTTCTTGCCTCCTAGTGTGTTCCCTGCAATTTAGGAAGGAAAAGGACAAAATAGGGAGCTGGGGTAGGAGCCCCTTCCCCAGCAGCTTATCTGAAAAAAGCCAACTAGAGACACTAGATTGCCATATTGAAAATGGTTCTGTCTGTGTCGGACTTGGCCATTAACTCTGAGATCCGGGCAAAGATGTGGTGGTGAGAAGTGATGGGGAAAGCTATAGAGAAAGGAGTTAGGCTAATGTAACTCACCTTTTTCTGGAACAGGTGGGTTGTTCTCAGTTATTGAAAGAGTCTGAGAAGCCCCTGCAGACTGGCCTCACCACAGGACTGAATGAGAATCAGTCGGGTGGTCCCTTGGGTGGGGACAGCCCATCTGCTGGTGAGTATCATTTAGAGACCCATCTAGGAACGAGGCTGATGGAGATGTGTTTGAGGACTTAGCGTAAAATAGGAATTAGCTTTTTCAAGTGGGAATTATGTTAAATCCATCTATATCAGAATACGTAGAATCACACAGAAGTTGTTCCCATAGGGCTAAGGGGAAGTTTATCAAGCTGATGTTTATTTACTATAAGGATATGTTTTTCAAAGGATAGTCTGAAATAGGCTATTTCTTAGTGTCCAGTACTCATTATTTTAGATTCTGTAATATATGTTAAGGAGTCTTGCTTACATTTTACCCTCCCCTGCTTTTGGAAACTTGTGTGTCTCTGTGTGTGTGGGGTTGGTGGGGGGTGGAAATCTCATCTTTCCAGGCATTAGTAATTAGTTCCTCTCTCCTGTGGAAAAGTGCAGTCAAATCTGAGACTATGAATTATGAAGAAATTAGTCACTTAAAATGGAGATCATCTGGCTTAAGGTTGAACTTTGTTTTCGGGATTCTCGGGCTGAGTAGGTCTTTGGGGGGGAGCGCTGAGAGTAGTTCGAGTCCAGCGCTGGGCCTGAGGCGGCCTGAGCAGCAGCAGGAACCCACGCAGTGCTGCCTTGTTTTCAGAGCTAGATAAGAAGGCGAACCTCCTGAAGTGTGAGTACTGTGGGAAGTACGCCCCTGCGGAGCAGTTCCGCGGCTCCAAGAGATTCTGCTCCATGACTTGCGCTAAGAGGTACAGTAGGCTTCCGTCTCGCCCTCCTCCCTCAGACACCCCTTCCCCAGGACCCGCTCAAGACTCCGAGCTAACGTCTCCTCTGCCTTCATTCTCTTCCCCAAATCGGCCCCTAAAATCCTAGTTCACACGTAGAGCAGGGAGCAAGGTGGTCTTGGATAGCAGCACCCCTGACCTGTACGTTCCCTGACCCACAGGTATAATGTGAGCTGTAGCCACCAATTCCGGCTGAAGAGGAAAAAAATGAAAGAATTTCAGGAAGCCAACTACGCCCGCGTTCGCCGGCGCGGACCCCGTCGTGGCTCCTCGGACATCGCCCGTGCCAAGATCCAGGGCAAGCGCCACCGAGTGAGCCAGCAGTGCGGGGCGCGATGCTGCAAACCGGGCCTGTTTCCTTCTGCTCCCCCACAGAGCAGCTTCTTTCCCCGGGGAGAAAAGTGTGAGGCCAGAACTCTGGTTTCACGTGATCACATCACTCCAGATCCCGAGATCCTGATCTTTTCGTCTTTTCTCACCTGATTTACCTGTTGTGTGTTTCTGTTAATCCTTACACCTTGTTAGAGGAGGGAAAATCTAGGGGAGTTGTTGGCAGAAGAGGGGAACCAAGAGAGGGAGACAGTTCACACTTGAAAGGCACTTGAGAGTGGGCTAGTGACTTTGGGCATTTGCACATGGAGTACTTTACCTGTGCTGAGATTAGTTTTTCCTCTGTGCCTCAAACCCAGGGTGGGGGGAGAGAGGGAGACCTCATGACGCTTACTGATGACCTCACTGTTTTTCTTGTAGGGTCAAGAGGACTCTAGCCGGGGTTCAGATAATTCCAGTTACGATGAAGCACTCTCTCCAACATCTCCTGGGCCTTTATCCGTGAGAGCAGGGCATGGAGAACGTGACCTGGGGAATCCCAACACAGCTCCGCCTACCCCAGAATTACATGGCATCAACCCTGTGTTCCTATCCAGTAATCCTAGCCGCTGGAGCGTAGAGGAGGTCTATGAGTTCATTGCTTCTCTACAAGGTATCAAGGGCCTGTCCACCAGAACCCAGGTCACCTGTATTGCTTTGTTGTTCTGTGGTTTGTTTGAGGCCATCCCACAGGGCTTTGTAAATGGAAACGTAGAGACTTAAGTATGGTATGATGAAGGTGCTGCTTTTGGTATTTATTTGGGTTACTTGTCCACAGCCTGGTTTCCAGGTTGACCGTCCTCTGCTAACAGGCTTCCCAGGTGGCACAGTAGTAAAGAACCCGCCTGCCAATGCAGGAGACACAGGTTCGACCCCTGGGTTGGAAAGATCCCCTGGAGAAGGAAATGGCAATCCACTCCACTATTCTTGTCTGGAGAGTCCCATGCACAGAGCCTGGTGGGCTATGGTCCATGGGGTCAGACGGGACTGAGCATGTATACACATGCACTTTACAAGGGATAGTTTTGTCCAGAAAGGAAAACCATCCTACCCTCCTTGCTGTTTTGTCTGAAATTTGGGCCCTTAAAGATGGCATGAAGGCTGATTTTCTTGCCGGTGTCAAAGAAAACATACTATATTTTGCTCTCTCCCTTCCCTTCCTCAAGTTATCTGAATTGAACAGCTTAGTTGGTGGAACACCTTAGTTCTTTTATCTTGGCTCTTTTTTTAAAAAACAGCTAGTTGCTCTGGTTTCATTTTGCTTCCATATCTTGCCATCTCGGGCCACTGTATCACTGGATTTAGGACAGGTACTTTTGATCATACCATGTAGCTTCTCATACGTACCCCACCATTTCCTCCTAGGCTGCCAAGAGATTGCAGAGGAATTTCGTTCCCAGGAGATTGATGGACAAGCCCTCTTATTACTTAAAGAGGAACATCTCATGAGTGCCATGAACATCAAGCTGGGTCCTGCCCTCAAGATCTGTGCTAAGATAAATGTCCTCAAGGAGACCTAAGGTGGCCCTCTTGCACAAACCAGCCTAAGGCAGACACTCCCCACCGTCCAGGTTATAACCTGGTGCCAGCAGACTCCATGAGGAAGACAAGAGCTGTGCTGTCTTCTGCAGGAGGGATCACCAAGACAGGGAAGAACCATGGAAGAACTGGTCGCTGGTGCTACATGGTGGCAGCTTTGATGTTTCTCTGGGTTTTATTTTTTAAATCTTCACAATTTCACCTACCCTAACCCAATCTTTGTGAAAGAGGCAGTCTAGAGAACTAGGACTGCTCGGCCTTGTCCTGGAGTGGAGTGTCTAGCCAGGGTCTGAATTCTCCAGGAGGAGGAATGTACAGTGTGGCGAGGCAAGAAAATGGGTGGACTAGGTGTGCCTCGGCCCCGGCAGCAGGGGAGTTTTCCAGCTTTTGTGACACAAGTAGCAAAACTTGGTCCTCCCCCCTTCCCTCCAGCTCCTCCTGACTGTAGCTGTGGCCCAGACTTCTGTTGTCACTCCCGTAGTGTTGGACATCTTCTCCTGCATCCTCACTGGCCAGTGTAGGGACTGGGTTGCCATCATTCTGAGTTGCTGCAGGGACTAAAAGTATTGGGTACACGTGTGGCTGTTGTCATTCTTTCTGCACCCCCCTGCTTCCTTCAATTTATCTGTTGTCTTCTACCCTACTTTTCTTTCCATTCCAACTCTGCTCTGTCCTATAGCTTTATAAAGCAGGAGTGCGTGGGGCTGAGGTCTGGAGTAGAAGGACCTGCCGTGGGCGCTATTCCTTATACAACAAAAATATTAAATATTTTTTTTCCTCCTCTGTAAAAGGATGAAAATTGGTCTCGATTGTCTCTTACTCCATCATTCCAGTGTATCTCCTGGCTTCTTGCACACAAATGACTAGGCCGACTTTTTTTTTTTTTTTTAATCTTTTAAGTGTTTTTGTACAAAAAAAATGTATATATATTTTTCGCATTTTTAAAACACCAGAGTATGGGGGAGGGATGCAAACAAGTAACAGAAAAATGCTTTTATAACATCATTTTCCCTGCTTAGAAAAGAAAAAATACCATTCCAAAGTCCAAAGATGAAATATCTAAAAGTATCTAAAAGTCCAAAGATGAAATAATTTCATTTTCTTTCCTAAAGGCTAAAAAAGCCCCCTGCTTATTGATTCAGTCCTTATGTGGCCAGGGGAGCCACGTTCCTCTTAAGCGGCCTAGGCTCCCTGTCACACAAAGATCAGGCCAGGTTTCTGGGCATGTGGCCTAAATGGAAGGGCGGAAGCATCAGAGGTTTAAGCCCCTCTCCCCACGGAGACATGCTAGGTAAGAAGACACATCCCTGAGCCAGAAGCAAGGACAGGTGCAGCAGGAGCCTGCACCCAGGGCCGAAGATGGCAGGGCCCTGCATGTCCCACTTCTGCTTCCATTCCCTTTCCAGGAGACTGGAGGGCACAAAAAAAAAAAAGCCAAAACAAATGCCTGTGAAGGAAAGTGCAACATGTTTAGAAATACTGGTAGAGGGAGCATTTCAGGAGTAAGAAAAGCTCTGCCAGCTTTGACTGCAAGTGGGAGAAGCAAGCCATCAAGGGTATCCCACTACAAGGTAAATGGACTTCTTGCTTCTGCAACCCTGGTGGCACAGGAGGTCCATTTCAGCATCCCTTCCAATGGGCTGGACTTGCGGATTAGGTATTTTAGCTGCAGGTGGACCAGTAACCCAAGATGATGACCCAGGGCCCAGTTCCAGCTGTAAGGTCACTCCAGTGCCAGCCAATGATGTTTAGTTACCTTGTAATCCTGGGAAATTTCACAGTTTCCATCCTGACCCGAGGTGGGAGAAATAAGTCTACAACCTCATTTGGTCCAGGCTCAGACCAAATGGCAGTCCTTGGATTTTGACCAAGTAATCACTGCAAAACAGTTCCCAGCAGCAAGTTACATCCGGACTCTCATGGAGACTACTGTAGGGCAGAGTGACAGCATGAAAGCAATCAAACCTATAAATAATGTTTTTTTTTTTAATTAAATCCAGTGTCTCAAAAACTTGTGAAAATGTGTTTAAAAAAGAAAGTCAGGGAGCCTGCTGCACCCTTTTGCTCACAGCAACTCCTCTACTTGTACTTTCTGGTATGAAGACACAGTGCAACAGCCTCTGCTGTGATTGGCCCTATTATATTATCTCTGTCCTGCAGCTGTACCTCTCGGGAGGGAAAACCAAACAGGGAACAAAGGGAAAGGCATTTCTACTACTGACAGGTGGATGCAAACCAAAAGCAAACCAGAAAGCAAGAGCGAGACTGAGGGTGAGATGAGAGACTGGAGTGGAGGCTGCTTCAGAAATCTGCCAGAGGATGCTTTGGTTTGGGGGCTGAAGAAGCTGGACATCTAAAGTGCAATCACATTGGTAATAAATGATCATCCCTTTCTTCTGACTCCTCCCCCAGCTGATCATCCCCCACACCACGATAGGCAGCAGGCACATTTCGGGGTTTAGAGCGGCATACAAAGTCACAGCCATCCTATAGGGGGAAGAGCAAAAGAGGTGATCATGTGAAATCAGCAACCTTCAGGTGGGTACAGTGTGTTTATTGTCTAAGAAGGTGGCAAGAACTAGCTTTCTCCAGGGATAATGAACAGAAAACTCCAAAGCTCCAGTGATTGGCCTAAACTGAATTTGGGGAAACACCCTCTCCTCATGTAGGCCCCTAAATAGTTGGATCAGTTTCATAAATCTAAGCAACAGTACCGTTCTTCCAGTCAGTCTGGAAGGTCAGACGTTAAGGTGCTATATTACTTATTACCCTGTATTAGGGCAACCAACTGTCTTGGTTTGCTGGGACTTGGGGTGGTTTTAGCACCCAAAAGTCCTGTGTTTCAGGAAATCTTCAAGTCTGGGCAAACCAGGATGAATGGTCAGTCACCTGTTTTGTCTCCCAGTTGCCCTGTTACTTACTGCTACCAGGTTGCCAAGATCCTGCCAGAAGGCTAAGTGAGGAAACTGCTCCATTCCTTTGGCTCCGACCACCAGTCGCTGGTACAAGAACCCCCCGATGATATAGACTGCGACCAGTGAGGCAAACCTGTGAGACAAGACATCTATACTCAAAATCCGAGAATCAGTAAAGCCCATTCATTGTTACCTGTTTCCTAAGCTGTTCCATAAAAATGGAAAAACAGAAGGGTAGTCAGTTGAAAGAAAAAGGGGGCTGGTAGAGCCTGAGAGAACCAATTAAGAGTGCTGTCTGAGAAAACCTTTGGATCAGAAAAAAGCAAGACAGTGTGTGACTCACTTAGGGTTGAGAACAATCACCATTAGATAAACAGTCCAATTTCTTCAAAAGTTCTATTAATCTAATAATGGGAGAGTAATAAAAACTGTCCAGTCCTCCAGCAGGGAAAAAACCCCATCTCCAAATGCATATATTATTGGGGATAAAACATTAAGTCTCATTTTTTTAAACTTGCAGAGTTTAAAGAGGATATTCACAGACTTCTTTCCCCTCCAATTATAATATAGCATACAAATGCACACACACTATTTGGACCCGTATACTTCCAAGTGATTGCTGAGTTAAAAAAAAAAAAGGCTTGGACTGATAAAGGAAGAAGGACTCACGTGACAAGTAAGACAGAACCCACGCTAAGGTGGGAGATCTCTGGGGAACACGCCAGGCTGCTGTCCATCTCAAAGAGGTAGAAACAATCTTGGACTTTGCCTCGCTCCTCAGACACAGGGTTAAAGTTGTCCTGATGGTAAGAGGACAGACACAACATTTATGTGGTAAGGTGTTTGCTTTTGACGCCTGTCTGAAAAGGAGCACAAACCCACAAACCCCCCTCCCCCAAAACATTTGCTTTCTCTTGGTTTAAGAACTTATTTTCCATGTATGATGGAAGATGGATGCCTCTGACTCAGGGAAAAACTGACCTTCTACTTTTTAAAAATTTTTTCGCAGCTACCAAATGGCATGTGGGATCTTAGTTCCCCAACCAGGGGTCAAACTCATGTCCCCTGCACTGGAAGTGGGGAGTCTTAACCACTGGACTGCCAGGGAAGTCCCTGAATGTCTAGTTTTACCTCATCCACCCCAATTATCTTGTTCCCTCTGGACTTTCTGTACCACCTCAGGTCAGTCCTTTCATCTCCTCTCTAGGCTCCCAGATCCCGGGGTGCCTCACCGCTAGGGTGTGTCGATTGCAGGAGATCATCACCACTGCCCGCCGCTGCTCCCTGCCACAGTGGTTGTCATATTCATCACCCCCTTTATAGATCAGCATGATCCAATTACCTGAGGATGGACAAGGAAAAAGGAGCTTGGGGGTGGGGGAAAAGCAGAGACAGACTTGGGTACTGTGGGAGTGTGGAACCAAGTTCAGTGAAGTTGGTTTTAGTTAAAATAACCCTCAGGATGAGCTCTAGTATACCAGAAATACCAGTTAAAACCCGCCCCTTTACAACAGTTTGTGTTCCCTTGTTAAGACAACTAAGAACCAGATATGCATACAAGAATAATCTTGATTTCCCACACTAAAAGTAGGCAACCGATAGTGCAAATACAATTATGATCCATGTGAGTCATGACTCACATTCTCTGAACACCTGCTAACATCAAGAGGCTTCATTCAATTACTGGGTGGCAAGGGAAAGCCTAAGATCTTAAATTAACCACAGATAAATTCAAAGTGGATGACTTTGAAGACTGGGGACACTTTTCCTTCTTCAGTATTTACTTGTTCAAATTTCTTTTGCAAAACATCATTTGATTAATAATCATGTGAGGTGACCAAGGTAAGGATTCTCCTTCCAACTTTGCGTATGAGAAAACAAAAAGTCAAATGATTTTTCAAAGTCATAGGATAATTAAATATGAGCTGGATCAAAAATCTAGTCTTCTGACCCCAGCCCCAAACTGTTGACATTGTTTATTATGTTATTTACAGCAACAACAATCTGCACTTAGTTATCTATTTATCTGCTTAAGGGAATAAAATAAACCATAGTTGCTCACATAGTCCTTTCCACCAATGATTTTATGACTTTTGAGAAATATTATCAACATAACTCAAGTTGGTGGGGAGACTTTTGTAGAATGACTGGCCTTCAAAAAGCTTAATCTCACTTTAACACAAACATATAAATGTCCTGAGCCTTGGTTGTGGTGGAGTGGTGGAGCTGGGTGTTTTGTGGTTTGCAGGTATCTCAGGTGAGCTGAACCACACACATCCATATGATACAGCCTGGGAAGGGCCGAGACATACATGGTTATCACAGGGATTCAGTGAGCTGATCAACAGGGAGACTCTTACTTCCATTGAAGATCTGAGTCTCGTTGAATCTCCCAACTACTGTCTCCTTCCCGTTACTTTTGTTGATCTGCACCAGGCCTGCCCCAGAGGAGTGGTTGCCAGCTTCTCGGCACACCCGGAACACATAGCTGTACATGTCTGGGCTCTGGCCCACGGTGCTCTCAAAGCTGGGAGCAGAAACGCAGAGAGAGGAGGGAGAGGACAGTTAGAGCTGTCAGCCTTAGAAAGAGAAGCTTCGTTCAAACAACAGTGCGTTCAACTTATTTATCAAACATCATGGCTAAATGTCCTAGTGAATAT